TGCAATTGGAAATTTCCACTGATAAATATCTGAATTACGCATCTGTCAGTCTATTGGAAGACAATTATGGTGTTTTTTTTCCTTGCCATCTAATTAATTCACTAATGGTTTTGTTTACCAAACAGGCTAGAGGCTATAATAAATTTGATTGCACTTCATAATCTGTGGCCAGATTTCTCTTAAAACATGAATAAAAATGAAAAATGCCATACTGTCCATTTTAAGAAGGTCTTGTATAGTCCCAGTAAAATGTGGCTGAAACTAAGGCTTAGTTTTTATGTGTATATCTTTATTAATCTCCATATCGTAAAGGAGTTTAGCTTCTAGTGGCCACCATCAAGCCAAGGGGACTTCAAGGGGGGGTCCGTCTAGTACATGGCACCAGGAAACACTTTCATTAATGGCTTGGATTATGAAATAAGAAGAATGTTATTAACTTTACACCCATCAAAATCAAGCCAGGGAGGGCTGGGACCGCTTTTGTGAAGGGCAAGGGAATTCAAACTGATTTTTATAAATTGAAGCGATGACTCGAAATAAAAGGGACACCGTTTCGTAGCGAGCGGCAAAGTGCTGCCCCTTGTTGTCCGGCTCTACCTGAGCAGAGGAAGGTCCAGGTTGGACTAACGTGCCTGGTTTGGGCATTGCTCCAAAGAGGTGAGAGGCAGCTGGAGACTGAGGAACAAGAATGATCACGGGCCCAGAAAGCATGAATTAGATGTGAAGCTCAAAAGAAGCACATTTACTCTTTTAAAGAGAAGAGTTCTTCAGGTTCATGTGGTAACAGTCGTCAAATACGTACAACTCAACCTCAAGGGTTGTACGTAGTTGTACTTCGAGCCTACCACAAACTACAACAAGGAGATGTTAAATATTTGGAAAAACCTTCCTGGGAATCTCCTTCCTTGAAGACTTCAATGACAAATTAGGGAAAACTGGTGAGAAGTTGCTGGGTGTATTTGGCTCTGCCTGGATGATGATCTCTCGAGGTCCCTTCCCAGCCCGAAGTTTAATGACCATATGGTTGAAATATGTGCTCTAAGTGCCACCGACTTCCGCAAAACTGCTGAACGTTAAAACATATGATTAAACGTTTTGTCGAGTCAGGGCTAAAAGTAGAGACTGTCCTTCATCTGGCTATTGCCTGCTGCCTTCAGGATGTCCCAAGCCATATGCTACTCGCAGGAGTGCAGAAGGCACAGCTCCCCCCAAGCTCGCGTACGTGCAGGGACAGTGGGTAAGGCTATAGGTTTTCACCGGCGTTATCTGTCCTGAGAAATGAACAAAGATGTAGCTGAAACCAAGTCTCGACCAACCTTGTGATGGGCTGTGGAGAAAATACATTATTTTTGCAATTTTATAACAACAGGAGTGATTTAAAATCTTCTCCTTCCTCCACCTCTGAGTGATTGTTGGAAGTGATAACTGCGTAAATCAATATAACAGAAAGGCATTTGCTCAGGGGTGGACCTGATTTTCAGTCTACCTGTGCTCAGCCATCACCTACACGAACTGATTTCACAGCAATCATAACTCTAACCCCGTATGTTCAGTTACTCCAACACATTTATTTCAGCGCTGTCTAAAATAATCTTGATTTAAATCCAAAATAACTGACCTGGGGCAGACGACTAACAGGACTTAAATTACAAGGAAATTAAAGAACAAAGACAAGAGCAATAAAGGTCAGGAGAGATGATTTATGAAGGCTAAGGACACCTGACCTATATCCCTGTCCTCTGCAAGCAGAGCTTGGTGGGACACGAACCTGAGATGCTATACTCATTCCCTGTGCCAACGGATTATGGAAGCACCTGGATCCCAGCACAGAAGATGCTCAACTGACACAGTGCTGGGAAGCTGAGCTGCAAAAAATAGTGGATGCACCTGTTAATCCATGCTATTAAAACCCAAGAAGTCCACTCCTCCTGCTTTCTTTCTGCCCTGCTAAGGGAGGTGTCTACCAGCTGGGAGAGACATGTCCCGGAGCAGCTTGCATCTACTTGGCAACTCTCCGAAATGCGGGAGGGTTGTCCTAGGAATGTGGCACGGCCGGCCCTGGCCTGACTGTAGTCTCTCCAACCCACCTGGTTTGCTTTTCAGACTTTGAGGATCACACAGGTCCTGCTGTAAGAGAACAAAAGCCTTTATTTGCTCTTGTTCCAGTGGCAGAGCTGGTCCCCATCTGAAGTAGCACAGCCACTGCCCAGCTGGTTTCTCTCCTTGAGAGAAGCCTGGATAAAAGCTGATGACATAGTCCAGTTGGGGATGGACAACAGCATCCATAAGGACGAGACATGCTGCGAGAGGCATCAGCTAGCCACCAAAAAACTGAGCAAACTACGTACACCACTGATGCAAATCTGTCGGAAATGTCTCTTGACGTACAAAAAACCCAAACAACAACTACCTAGAAAACCAGGACAAAAAGATAGTTCCATGTGTAATCTCCACAGGATTAAAAATTATTTAAATATTGGGCTGCCTCGCCTCAAAGCCATATACTTGGGTACGAATGCATTGAAGGGATGACCTCTCCTGGTCACAGAGGTGTCTGGAAAACCACAGCTGGAAATTAAAACACAGGCTGATGGAAGCGTTATTGGCCAACAAGATGCAGACTAAGCCTGAGATGTTCCAGTTTCCAACCAGACACCACCAGTTGACCTCTGGAAGGGTACAGAGATGCCCTGGGGGGACTTGCCCGCAGCGGCTGAGGTTAAGCTATAAAAATCCTCTTCCTTGCAATGTATTTTCCTTATTTGATCAATTTTACTCTTGGAAAATACAAAACTCTTCTGAACACACAAATTCCAGGCTACCGTAACACACGCAGGCAATAGAAGAGTCAACTCCTCCCATGCATTTTGCATCGGTTTGTGTTTTTAACCTTAAATTAAATATATTTTTCATGAGGAAGACAGAAGAAGACAGAAACAAGAGATAGCACTTCTGGGCTCAGCTTTGACAAAAAGAATATTCTCTTGTTTTAGTAACAAAATTTCCCTCGGTGGTAAAGAAAAATAATAAAATCTAGAGCGTTAAGCTAAACTTTTAAATATCTTACAGTCTTTTGTGTGCAATTCAGTATTCATTAAGAACTACAGAAAATGACCTTAACCAGCATTTTCCTGTTCAGGGGAGGGGCAGCCACCGCTGAAGAAAACCCCCACAAGGTGATGGAAACATTTCTTTCATCGGCAGCCTTCTGCAGGCTGTGTCGGCGGCACCGGGGCTTCTTGGGGGCTTCCGAGATTTGGACATCTCCTAAGAACTACGTATCTCTACGTGACTGATCTGAGAGGTTGAAGTGACAGAGCATGTCCACTCCTGCTCTTCCTCACACCTGGCCAAGCACCACGCATCGAGAAGAGTTCAAGATTTCAAGACGTTAACATCTCAAAGCTTCCAAATTAACTTTGCGAGCAGCTAGAGGTAGAGGACTGGCCCGCGGCCATCAGTAACCACCCAATTTCCTTTCGTATCTGTGCAGTTTGGGGGTCCCATAAGCAACCCCTCATGAAGACAAACTCATGCACCTTCCCAGGAACACCCTCAGGTTTTCAAAGCTTGACAGCATGCATCAAAAAAAGCCTTAAAAATGAAAACAAACCTCAAAAGTTCCTTCACAAGACTCAAAACAAGCCCCCAAACTCCCTCACTACAAGTCACCTCGGGCAGCGAAGCCAGTGGTGGTGTTAATTTAGGAGACAAATCTCCTGGGCTTTATGCTGTTGTCAACAGAGAGGGAAGGGCCTTCAAAAGGGAGGTTGAGTGCAACCCGAATTAAACTCTAAAGCATCCTCCACAGCAGATGACTATAGAAGGAGCAGGGTAAGGACAGCCTTCCCAGGCTACACGTGAGCTCTCGTGACTGTCTTCCAAAACAACAGTTGCTTGTCTCACATAAATAAGTAAGTAAGTAAGTAAATAAATAAATAAATACACCCCTCCCCCAAACCCCAGGAAGGGACCAGCATTCTCACGGACATGCTCTCCTCCACACAATTTTACACACATCCGAACAGGAGAAGTCAGAAATAAATCACATGGAAGAGCGAGTCACACTTTTAACACAGAATTTACGTGCTACGCCACAAATAAAACACTGCAATGCTTTCTTTTGCTGGTTTTCCAGTTCCCGGCGCTACGGGTGCGTCGGGCTCCCGCAGGGTTACGGAGCGGGGGTTTCCCCAAGGTTTCGTGATGGCGGCAGTGACTCTGTTCACTTTTCTGCCCCTGACTCACAGGAGTTCCTGACATACTGTACCGGTGTCCGGTATCAGAAGCTCCTCTGTGGTCAGCGCTGTGATGTAAGCTAAGCTCCCTCTTTCTATTATAAATTTTTGTATTTTTGTGATATTACAAACGGGTCATGCAACGGCTGCTGTTTCAGTCTCCTCCCGCTCAGGCTTTGTTTTAAAAAGGACTGAACAGCTCTAAATCCAAGCAGAGCAAAACAACAAGCTCGGATTTTTCCCTTTCTCTAAAATTCTGCAAAAAAATAAGTAGTTTTCTGTGAAGCGTTGTCAGAGCTCAGACGTTGAATCTACAGCTCTTGCGATAACCAAGGAGATTTACGTCTAGACTTGAATTAGAAACTGCTTACAAGAGACGTTGTACCGTTACTCCAGTTTTGGCTAAGCAAGATTTTTAAGTTGCTCTTTTAATCTTAGCACTCAACAGCTGCACAACTCTTCAGGTTGTTTTTAAAAGGCAATCGGTGCCATAAACATAGGACCACTTGGAGAGAGAAGATGCGTCTCCTCTCTCAACCCAGTACATAAATCCTTCTTGGTTACTGCAAAGCATTTGTTTTTACATTTTTATTTACCGGGAAATGTCATTCAGCTTTCTTCAGCCATTAGAAAATATACAATCCCATCGCATGATTTTCTTCCGGTTATTCGGGTGTAGTAACAAACAAAAATTGAGAGACTCGTAACACAGTACTTATGCTAGGACATCACGCAAACTTCAAAGAAGAAAAGGTTACCTACCAGCTCAACTCGTCCAAACCCTCCGACTCCAAGGGTGTCAATGATGTTGAAATCAGACAGTTTCAGGTTGGCGAAGAAGGCAGCTTCGGCTTCGTATCTGGATTTTTTTATGCGAAAAAACGGAAATTTCTTAGAGGTGCAAACATGAGTACTGCGCAATACCGTACCCGAATGGCATGAGCGTGGAACAGCCTTTACCTGCTTAATTTCCATCTTATCTCTTACAGTTTGCTTTTATTCCCACTCATTGTTTTGCTGGTCCCAATGATAGCATCGCTCCGATGGGCACGGTTTTCCAAGTGAGAAAAGCAAACGTACCTACTGCATGCCTACAATGCCAATGTCTGGTACTGCAATTCAGCTCCAGCTACCCAGCGAATGCTACATTTTGACATTGTCTATTGATCTTCTTGTGGGTGGTTTTTGGTTTTTTTTTGGTGTCTTAAAGTATTTTTTGGAAGATAAAGTCTCTCATAGGAGTTTGTCTTATCCACAGGCTGGCAGTAGTTTCTATAAATGTTTATTGAGAGTGGCAAGATCATTAAGGTCCCTGGAGAGAAATCACAGCCAGGTTTTATGAAATCAGATCCGATAAGCTGCGGGCTGGTGTGCAAATGCCTGAAATGAATGACTTCAGTCACATATCAACATTCCTAGAAGAATATCTTCACTTCTTTTCCTCCTATAAACTCACTTGGAATAGACGTCCCAACCCAGGAGGTCCCAAAATCCAGATGCTCTCTCTTAAGCCCGTGTCCAACTGGCTCGCGACGCAAGTTCACCAAGCCCTTGACTAAGGAAGCATGCAAATCGAACACATGCAAGCCTGCCAAAATAAGCTTCCCATGACTATCCTCATGAATATGAGTCCTCTAAAATAGCTCCTTGTCAAGGTTTATGGTATTTTTAGAAAGGCTCGGAGGGGAAATGGATGAACAGGATCCACCCACTCAATAAAGTTTGACATTCAGCTGCCGGAGAAGTCCCCGTGCGTGTGCAACCTTTGGCCGCTGGTGACACAGACTTGTATGGGAAAAGAGCGTTGAGGGGATTATGGAGAGAGGCATGGAGGGTGTACAGGGGGACTTGGCTTGCCTTTCAGTACTTAATTTTAGCCATAACATCTTGCAACGAACAGATAGACCATAATGTGCTATTTCACCTGGATGCTTCATCGTGCATGGTAACACTAGCATAAAGATAAAACATGATAGCGTAAGCCACAAATATATATATATATATGTGTCCACCTATCTTTTTAATGTACCTTATCCGACACGCCTGCCTCTGATCTAATTCAGTAATGGGATGGAATTGATTTACTGACTTATTCTCTTCAAACCACCTTCTTTAGTCTATTTAAAACCGCAATGACATTGGGGGAGGAAAAAAAAAAATTTTTAAAGTCAAAAGGGAAAAATAAAAAGAGGTGTTGTCGAGACAGGTCACATCACGGAGCCCCAAATCCGATGCAATAAAGCGCAATTTTATCTCGGAGGTGCTGTCGACAAATGACTTTATTATTTATGCTGTCACCAGATCCTCTCGGTGACCTTGCTCCTGTGGCCACAGCAGCCCGATGCATCCGATTTTGGAAACCAATCAGTACCGAGTGTGCTTCGAACTTGGGATAACCTTGCACGGCACAGCTGCTTATCGATCGCGTTAGTCGCATCATGAGGGACACGCTAATCCTGAAAAACCTCTGCTAAAGGAAAGACGGGTTTATGCATTCCCTTCTAAATCACAGCAGCCATGACACTTTAGGGGTGACAGAGAAATGAGATGGGTCTAACTTGCAGGATGTATGCATAGATCAAATACCCTTAATGATTTGTCATTGCTAGGAAGATGAAATCCCAGCGTGGAAAATTTCCCTTCAAGAGTCAGAAGCGCTGCGTTACCTTTGCCCAAGGCTTGGGACCAGCTACCCTGTCTTCTCTTCTGGGCACCTACTGAGGACTTCTCCATGCTGAGCAAGCAGGGGATGAGAGATGCCAAACGGCAGCGCGTCAGAAGGGTCAGGGTCTCCAAAAACATACGGGACAGAGAGGGGAAATGGTTTTTTCCCTACAATACCTCTTATCCTGAAAGACGGTCAAGTCCGACAAAAATGACATATAGTTCCCATCATGCGACGTGAGAAGGAGGAAAAAAAAAAAAGGTATGACGTGGGGCAGTGCTGGCAAGATGAGCAGGACCGTAGTCCCAGTCCCTGCAAATTCCACCAATTCTCCCGAAAAATCTCTTGGTTCGATGGGAGACGGGTTCCTCCTCTCCACTCCCAACTTCTTCATCGTTTTATGTGCCGAGGAGCAGAAGCCAAAAGCTCTGCTCAAGGCCTTTAAAGTTAAAAAAAAAAAAAAAAAAGTGTTCATTTATTATTTTGCTTAAAAAAATGTACTTGCAGCATTATTGTGATTGCTTTTGGAAATCTCTTGGCTAATTCTGACAGACTGCTTATGCGTAGTTAGTACACACCGGTGCAACGAAGCACATGCATAAACCAGATTGGATGTGGTTTTCTACACGCTGTGCAACAGGCATCCAAATAACAAAAGAAATTCCAAAAGATAAATAGTGAAGCCAAAAAAAATCGAGCAACTAGCCCTTCACGTGCTTTGTAACAGCAGTCACATCTGAATTCTGTTTTAACCCCAACTACAAAGGTCAAAGTCCACTTTCAAATCAAAATCCTATAAACTAACAGGAGTTACGCACTTCGGCCCTGCAAAGCTTAAGAATAAATCTCTTCACTTAAACAAAAATACCCGAATGCAAATATTCCCAAGCCGTCTCCTAAATCAGAAATTGGGGTACAATCCTCATCCTGAAATTTAGAATATGAATGAATCTTTTATCTGTCAACTTCCCTAATTGGAGCATGCTGCTCCCTAAACAGAAACTCCCAAGGTTTTGCAGCGTGCGCTCCTTGCTCTACAGAATTACAGTGAAAAACGTATGGCGTGTCTTGGTTTTATCTCCTTCAAAAGAAAAAGGACCCTTTCAAGGCATTGGGAGGGCAGTGCAAAGAAGTACAGAAGTTGTTTAATAAAATTCAAACGTTCGGTTCTGGACCAGGTTGAAGAAATCTGCTACGCTCAGATACGGGGGGGAGGACGCTTGGGATATCCCCTGGGAACACAACAGAGATGGGACGAATGGTAGAGACAATTGGACCAAATTTGCGCAAGCTGACATGGAAATAACTCGGCACTCTGTGGGAAAAATGGATGTGCGCCAGGTCAGGGTGTTATTTTTTCTGGGTACCATTTTGCGGGTGCCACAGCCTCTTCCCATCCAGTCTAACGAGCAAGGTGGTTCAATTCTAAATACGCAGCCAAACAATGGTGCTCTGAGACTTTCTGAACAAGAAAATGGATATTTGGGGTTTTTGTCCTCTGGAAGAGTTGGCAATTTACATTCCTAAATTACTAGAGGAGTATTGGGAAGACATCTCGGGCAAGCTCGGAGGCATGAACGCTGAGCAGCGTCACATCCACGTTCTGGAGCTATGCAGATGCCAGGCTCAAACTTTCTGTGCTGAGATTTCTGGGGTTTTCTGACTCTGAGTTAGATGTAATTGAGACAGAATCCTGCTCTGGGTATTGTGCTTCTTGCCCCAGCTATCGCAAACCAAAACGCCTGGAAAAATCACAGCTGGAAGCGCACAGAAAGAAAAGATGCCGGAGAACGTTTCATCCAAAGAGGGGGAAACAACAAAAAGTCTGTTCTTTAATAAAAAGCTTTTAAAATTCATGCTGAGATTTTCACAAGAGCTTGTGGGAGGCCAGGTATGCACTCCTAATGGGACTTTTTTGCTTATTATTTATCACCTACCCTACGAACTGCCCCCCCCGCCAGAGCTTACAGTCCACTCCTGCAGCCGAGAGGTGTCTCCTCCATCGGGGATGTCAGAAAACATGACGGAGGAGGAAATGCTCAGATCCAGGACAAACACGAGCATCCTTGCGGAATCTCCCAAGCTCTTCTCCGAGGCTTCTTGCAAATCCGAATGGCAGAGGTACCTACTGAAATCTCGCTCAAACGACCGGTTTTCCGTAACGATCTTGCCCTAATTAGTATCGGTGCCTTCCTATGGAGGAGTTGGGGCTTGGGACCACCGTTTCTTTCTCTCGTTCCAAATAAAACACAGACTCTTCAGGAGTGGCTGATTAAAATGCCTAGATTCAGTCTCCTCTTTGGCACAGACAGGTATCGCACGCAAGAATCTAGACTTCTTGGGGGGGGCTCAGGAGTAAATACCATGGTCCACACGTCCCGTTACTTGGAAACAGCAGCGCAGGAGCCACAAGCAGCCCAAGCGCTTGGGCAATGCCTGTTACGCACAACGGGAGAGGAAAACGTGTGGCTTCTTGTGCTGTTGGAGGTTTCCAACCATTTAAATGAGTGACTGCTTCCTAGGACAACGATTACTCCAAAACACATTTCAAGTTTTTCCTCCCAAAACTATGAATACACACAAAAAAAAGAAAAAAGGAAAAAAAAGAGAATCACCTTGCCTAGGCAGCAAAAAAGGATAAACGAGAAAATATGAGGAGCAAAAGGGTTGCAATTACCCAACTGCTCAGCTTTGCTAAGCTAGTTCACGATTCCCATCACATGAGCTAAATGTGTTGGGAAACATCAGACATCTGTTACCAAACTGTTATCTTGATAGAAAACTTGGCTTCTTTCCACCTGCGTGCTGCCAACTAGACGTAAATCGCAACCAAATGGGAACCAACCACCAACTCCCTGATGAGAGCAAACATAACTGTTTTGGGTGGATAAAACCAGAATTTCGGAGCCTTCCTCAGTGACAGACACCTGCTTGTTTAACAGCTATTTTGCCGTCCAGTTTTGTTGGCTGGCGCGGTGACCGTATCACCCATCGTAGAAGCACTGGACTTCTGCAGACAGAAATATTCAATCTCTGCACAGACTAGGATAACTGAGTTGTAATGCTTGGATGGTGATGACCAAGCCCAGCCTGCAAGAAGATACGCGTGCAATGAGCCGAAGAGCCACAGGTGGGGAAAAAAAAAATACATCGCCAAAGGAAACTCTATTTCTGCGTCCACTAAATAAGAGATTTA